ATCGGGGGACGCGTCCCCCTGGACCGGAGCGGGAGGTCGATGCAGAGGGAGGGGTGTCCTGCCGGCCTGGGCCCTCGGCGTCCTCACCTGGGTGAGCAGGGCACACGCACCAGCAGCCGAGACACTGTTCAGCACAGACTGTGTGGTGTGTTTTTTAAAATATATTTTTATTGATTTCAGAGAGGAAGGTGGGGGGGGGGGCAAGGGGAGAGTGGAGGGGGCAAGGCTGCCGAGACCACGCGCCTGCCTCTGGGTCACCCTCCCACCAGGTCCCGCAGTCCCGGCGTGGAGGCGCGGGCACGGGGGACACAGTCCCCCACATCACAGGCCCTGGGCGAGGACAGGGCAGGGAGGGTAACCAGGCAGGTCCGGCCGGAGGACCGAGGCAGATGGGGGCAACACCTGCAACAGAATTCCCCCTAAAACACCAAGGCTGGCCCGGCCGGCGGGGCTCAGTGGCTGAGCATCGACCTATGAACCAGGAGGTCACGGTTCGATTCCCGGTCAGGGCACATGCCCGGGTTGTGGGCTCCATCCCCTGTAGGGGGCGTGCAGGAGGCAGCTGATCAATGCTTCTCTCTCATCATGGATGTTTCTCTCTCTCCCTCTCTCTCTCTCTCTCTCCTCAAGCAAAATCAGAACAAATATATTTTAAAAGATAAATATGTGATAGTAACAATAACAGAAGATTGCCTGGCGATAGGGCACCCTTTTCTTCCTTCGAAAGAACAGAAGTCGAAGAGCATCACAGGCCTTCTCTAACGGCGGAGATTTCTTTAAAAGTGTTTTATCTCGATAAAGCAGACCCAACGCGGCATCCACCCAAACCGTGTGAGTGGCAGTGAGGGCGCGACGGGCAAGCACGTGTCCCGAAGAAGCCCCGCCACGCCGCCGGAGGTGCTGGCCGCCCTCTGCTCTTCACGGAGTTCAACCCAGGGCCCCCCCGCCCCCCCTCTGGGCCCGGCCCCACGCGATGGGTCTCCACTCCTGTCCGATTTCCAGGGCACCACGACCTCACTGAGCTCCAAACGCTTTGCGAAGCCAGCGGCCCCCGCGCTGCCCCCGCCGGCTTTGCTGGGGACACAGGGGGGCACACAGAGGGGCCGGGAGGTCTCTGAGCCTCGCCTGCTGTGCCCGCTGCTCCGCCCGTGCCCCCTTCACTGTTCAGCACAGGCACACGCCAGCTCCGTTCCCAGTTCCCCAGATGCCCATCTTCCTAACTGCCAGCGTGCCAGCCCAGCCAGGGCAGCTCCCGCAGACGCCGGCCTCGGGGGCTGGGCTTTGGGAGGGGAACTCGGGCCGTGGCTGCGGACTGTGGACTGTGGAGACCTGTGGTCACAGGCCCCGGGGGCCTTTAAACCCGGGACATGGTGAGGCAGGCGGCCCTGACAGCCACCCCACCTGCGGGAGTGAGCCCAGTGAGTCAGAGAGCCCGGCACACAGGTCGTGGAGGGCGCAGGCCTAGGCTGGGCGTTTGAGCAGGTGACGCAGTGGGTGTAGAGGACGCGGAGGAGGGTGAAGCATGGGCGCTGTCCTCTGGGGGGTGGGCGAAGCTCACGTCCATCTGTCCGGCAGGGGTCCCCGAGGCCCGAGGCCCGGCTGGCTGCCCTGGGCCAGCTCGGACCTCCGACGGCCTGTGTGTCCCCTTGGTCGCT